GTGAGTGCGTGCAAAACTTACAATTAGTCAACTATTAGTTCCACATCAATAACTTAGTAAATATTTAATTGGTCTATGTATTATTTTTTTAAGTATCTAATGATGATGTGCAAGTATGTTATTTCATGAAGAATTACAATGTAAATTACATAACAAGTCTGGCAGTTAATGTTTGTAACAAGAAACCTGTAATTGACTGGCGGGTGTATAATCTGGCGATAAAATTAAATAAATAATTCATTAATATGCCGGGTACGATCGGTATCTTGAGCGAATGGGTGCGCGGGTGCAACGTACCACTCAATATCCTTAGCAAGCGCGACAACTCGGTATCTAAAAGAAATCTTAGCTATGGTCACACAACATACATATGTTCCTAGATAAAGTTTCTAACGTTCAGGTTTGCGAAACCGGATGTTCAGACCGCTGAACACATTGGTTTACTGACGACAATTTCTACCGAGAGAACTATTAGTTGCCGAAGCGTTCACACCTGGTTTCCTTTCAATAATCGCCTGGGTTAGGTTAGTTAAATGTACGTAACATGGTTTTCGTAATAATGAACTTAATGTGAGTGTGTGTGTGAAAATACGAATGAGTAATGACCTTGGCAGCTTAAGTGGGCTATTTACTAACGTTGCTTAAGAAGTAAACTTGAAAAATTTTTACCAAAATTTATTTAATCTTTAATTACATTCAATAGATATATCTTAACACCAATCAATTTGTAATTATGAAACACTTTTCTCCGAGGCTACACCGATCGTGACTGAAAAATACTTAATGTACAACATGACGCGCTATCTTTTCTGAGCATTGTGCAATAGGATTAATGGTGTGTGCCATTGGTTTAATTCATCTTCCATGACTAACGAAGACGCCTATGTATAGATTATATAACGGCCTAATGGTATCATGTCGTATATCAAAACACAAAACATTATTTAAGCACTTAAATATAATTTTTATCTCGAATAAATTTCATTAAAAATAATTAAATTAATATGTTACATAACAAATTAAAATTTCTTGTTGATTTAAAAAGAAAGTTTTTTGTCTTCTAGTTTTGTTAATTGGTGAGGTTGGGCCCCATGTTAGGAGCCAATAAATATCCCGCGGCAATCAGACTGCATTGAAACACCAGAAATGCGCAGCTTTCTTAGTAGCGCAATTGCGACGAACGTCTCAGCACATAAAATAACAATAATTGGCCGTATTTAACGACAACGATGCCTTAGCGCAAAAGTAATTACCATTAACCACTTTATCCGTACACGGTTCAAATGGGATTGTTTAGCTGTATTTAGCGCGATGCGAAATTCAGAAATGTGGGTGTGCTTTTGTCGAAAGCCGACAAAAAAATGTTTAATCATCAAACAATTAAAATTAAAAAATTCATTTTTATCTCAAATGAAAAACTGAGTGCAATATTTTTTTTAATTCGTATTTATAGAATTAACAGTTTAGTGTGGTGACACACTAGCGGTAAGATAAAATCCCATTGTAAGTTAAATAATATCTAGATGTTATAGCTGTTGTGGTATGTCTTATCCACTTCTAACTGTTGTCCGACCAAAACTTTAAATGAAGATAGGAAATGTCATCTAGATTGCGATTCGTTTTGCTTGATATGTATCGATTGTGGAGCTGCCGGCAAATTTATTTGATGGATATTGTTCGACCACGTGTTTACCGCAACTCTTGAGCGGTCTAACTCAAAATTAAATAATCGATATCAATAATATTAATATTAAATTAATAGCAACATTAATAGTCATAGTAATCAGTATTAAAATTAATGTTATTAATTTTTAAACATTGGTATCTCATAAACTAATTGAGATATTAATGTGGGGTAATAAACAAATTGAAGCAAATTTAATGAATATTTAACAAGCTAAAGATTAATTCATTGAATTTTCAAATTTAGAAGTAATAATTTTTGAATACAACGCTGCATAATCGATGCTTTACTAAAAGTATATTACATTTAAAAATTAATATCTCAAAAACTAATTGAGATATTGAGGTAATGTAAAAACCAAATTAAAGCAAATTTAATTAGTGTTTAATATGCTAAAGATTAATTCTTCAAATTTTCAAATTTTTGAGTTATGATTTTTTGAACTGAGCCGTGCTTAGTCATAGTATCTTATATCTCTAAAATTATATGTTGGATTTAACCATGTGTTTACCGTAACTCTTGAGTAGTCCAACAAGTTTAATTTTAGATTTCAGTAGGAATTTAATTAAAAAAGCTTTGTATCATTAAATAGCTAACCCATCTAATATTGATTACTATAAAAGTTGAAATTACGCTGAGGTTTAATGCTATCACATACCGTAATTGGCTATAAACCCAAATTAAAGATATCTTGACATTAAAAAATTTCTATAACGTCATAATTAGTCTCGTGAACAGATATTTCCTCTTCGTACCAGATTAACCTGAGGCAATTCCCATTGCTTCTCATTATATGAAAAGCTTGTTTAGACGTGCAGATTGGGTGCGTCGATTATGCCGGAATATTAACGCCGTTAAATAAGGGAAAGTCGGTCCAGTAAACCGGACAATTGGTTTCAATTTAGATGATCCTACCAGTTTCAATAGACCGCGTTCCTCGCGGTTGATTAGCGAGGATTGAGTAACAGAAATGGTTGCAACATGCTCTACCAAAAATGGTCATAATTGGAAATGTCATAATTTATTGTGTTAAAATAAAAATTAGAGTTATAATTAAAAATTCTTTATCAATTTTGTCATATTTAGCTTACTTATTTATTATAGACACGAGTTTAGGTAGAAAGCGCTATGTGCAGCGTAACATATCGAGCATACCGTAACTTTCTTGAACCAGTAAAAGTGTAATAAAATTTAATTGTCGATACACGATTAATGCCATAACTGGTCTTCGCCGAGATATAAACGTTGATTGCACGTTAATTAAACATTAGCACGAGAATACCTAACCCCGATAAAAACGAGTTATTCAACGCATCCCGTTTCAACAATAACACCGTTGGCTGTTGGCGTTTTCGTAATATTTCAATTCTGCGCTAATTACGTGACACTTTACCGCATTATTGAATCGGCCGGCTATGTGAGATAATTAACACGTGGCACAAGAAAAGGTTCATCATCACTCTGCATATGGTTCGTTATATTCTAGAACGAACTAATTTCATAATGTAACATCGCATCGTGTTGGTTGTATTGATGTTAAAAGCTTAACACGCCGATGTAATTAACCTAGATCTTTAAATATCTATTAAAAAGAGCAACAAAAATTGTGACAAAATGAAACAGTTAGGAAATATTATTATATCTCGTATTTGTACCAAATTTATCTAATTGTGAGTAATAAAACTTAAAGTAGGTTTATGACCACAACGTGTTTTCAAATAATTTCAATTAAAGTTCAGATTCGCGGTTTCGAATCAAAAGTGTTGCGAATGAGAATAACTTCGAAACCATACGATACAAGAATAAAAGATTCAATGGGTACAAGTACCATCGTTTAATTAAGCGGTTTCAGAAAGTTTTTCAATTAAAAGAAATTTCACAATGCAATATTGGAGCGTTCGGGCTTAATTTAATGCTTCGTTAATACAAAAAGATGATATCATTAAAATCTTCTATAATAATAAAATAAATAAGCGGTTAACCGTGGCTTATAATTTTTTCAGTCGTCATACAATATTATAATGAGTACAAGCGCGTGTTCGTCTTGAAAGGTAAATAAACCACGAAAGAGAATGAGTTTAAATAATCCGCAATCGATCAAGTCTTTCGCGTGCTTGGTTTTTAATAATGTTGTTCGATGATGATTTAGTGAAACGGGTCGAGTTGTTTAATTGCCGAATTGACACCAACTGCGCCTCGAGCTCGTGTTCTTGCGCCGAGTTTGTTCGGTTCTTCGATGGTCGGACATAAATTTCTGTCACTCTGCTTTGAGTTATGGGACAGCCCGTTCGGCAACTGTATAACTAAAATTAAATCTTCAACTTTTGAAACCGCCGGTTAGAAATGAAATGAAAGGGTTCAATATAAAAACACCAATGCGAAGTTAGCCCCCAATTAGATAAGGTTTTACGTGTCCCAAACAATTTTGATGAAGAATATCTTATTTGAAAGCTTAATCCTTGCCCAATACGAAAGTAGAAATGCCCATCTCAAAATCTCTTTCAAATTCTGCTAAAACGCCAAAATATTGCGAAAGTACACGAAAAGAACACAAAAATAACCTTTTTTAGGTAGTCATAACTCGTAAACGTTGTACTCGATTATCAAGCTATTTTGTGATTTCGATAGAAGAAACTGACAAACCGAATGATGTATAGATCATGATAATCAAGTACATCGTTTACGAGTTATGGCTAAAAAAGGTGGAAGAGATTTCGAATTTCTATACTATACAGGTAATATCCTATCTAATTGGGGGCTAACTTTGTATAGGTCATAAAAATGTTTGAAACAACTAATTTAGTTACAACTACAAATTAACAATTTGTAATTTAGATTGGGAATATAAAACAATTCCTGTATACCGTGGTCGTTACGCATGCTTTCTTAAAACAAAGCGCCAGTCGGTTGTTCGGATTGACGAACGTCTTACGATACACAATAAAAGTATAAATCTTCCCCGGAGGGTAACAATGGAAGAGCTTCCTTTACAGATCTTCACTTAGATCTGTGTTTATCTTATATTCTTTTCCTCATTTAACATTCGACTCACGACCCGGGAAAGGATGCGTCACAACGCGTTGAAGTGTGGGTAATCTTGACGTTGTACGTGTTTATAATTGTTAATAAGGAAAGACAAGTTGTGAAGCAATCGTTGTTTTAAATTAATATGCCGTACACAACATTATTATCATCACGATTATCTTGTGGTAATTTCAATTTAGTGTGAAAACGTATAAAGATAATTCGTTAATGTCTCAATGTCAAGGGTAAAAAAATCTTGCTCTATTATTTTCTAGTTTTAAGTTGTACTTACCTCGCTTGAAAGAATCTAAAATCCGATTGCTTCTCAACCACTAAACACAATAACAACTACGTTCCTGTATAATTATCATTGAAATTTCAGTTGTAATTTTAGTTGAAATACAGTTACTTCGACGACGTTCTAAAGTCCGAAAATTTCCGGTGTCTTAAAAGACTTGAACTCCGCGTTAAGATGGCAACCTTTTGTCGCAAGACACAAATTGTTTTAATATTTAAAAACTTTTAACGTATTGACACAGCACTTATAAAGTAAGTGTTAAATAAAATGTTCTTAGAAACCGCGTTTTTAACTTAATCCAACCCGAAGAATTTCAAAACAATGCGAAACATCATCGAAACCACAACAAATTAAACAGAACTATTTATATTCTTAAACTCATACGTACTGAGTTCTTTAAGTGTTCTTTTTTCACTAATTTAGTAAGGTTTCTGTGGGGATGGTGATGATGATGATGACGAGATGAAAGAGGGTCCGCGTAAAATAACGTTGTCCGTCCGTGCTCGGTCCTCACTTCTTCGACGGTGCGGATTGACCACGAGTGGTTTCTCTGGTACGACCTTCCAGCACTTGCGGAAGTCCTTCTGCGTACGTTAGCGGTACCCGTAGCTGCACGGATAGACTGATCGCCACCCACCGCTGTTGGACCCACAGACCTACATTTGGTCCCCTCTTCGGTCCCCCACCTGAGCCCCCCCCTACAGCAAACCTCTACAAGAAGCGACTACTGCTGTGGTACCGGCATGTCTATAGAAACACTCGACCAGAATTTTCATTCCTGGAGATATCAACGGACGTGTAAGAAACAAACTCGGTGCTGAAGGGACTTTACAAAGGAAAAACGACTATTAAAGAATCAAATTAATAAAATAAATTGATTATTTTAATGTAATTAACTCAAAAAATTTTTTAATGTCTCTTATTTCTTCTGTAACTGAACGATTTTTTAGAGTGCGACTAAAAGCGAAATATTTAAATTTCAAAAATGTCATTAAGAGTAGTTTTGTATATATGCAACCAGCAAAAATAGAAAATTATACTCAATGAATTCAAGTCTTCCCAAATAAATTTCACCTAATGTAAAATGAACACAACGCGTGCAATGCATTAAATGGCGTTGTAGTGCCACATGCTAACACTGCAAAATATCTAGGCATGTCTTTGGACACACGGCTCAAATGGAAAGAACACGTGATGATTAAACGTACAAAATTCGACTGTGAGGTGTTACTGTAAGTGGTATCGAGATTTAGGTCAATAAGGCATTAATTGTACCGCCTCGGCCGCAAGCGACCTCAGTCAAATTGCGATTATTTGATTAAATGCAATGATTATATTTTTGAAACATTCATCTCAATGTGGACGTTCATCTTACCCAAATCAAGTAGCTGGAGTGATATAGATGTTATTGATATTACACCGGAACTACAACTTAACGAAATTTCACCAATTTGAGAAACGAATACAGTAACAGCAGAATACAACATTCAGAAAACGTGTTTTGAAGTGAGAAGAAATTCATAATATAATCCTTGTAAAGCATATATTTTGAGTAAATTAACTGTAAAAATTTAATTTTGGTATCATAAAAACGTTGTTAAACTTCATTTTTATTAAACTTGAAACATCGTTAACATCCTTTCTATAAAAATGGAAGTAAAAATCGTAATTATACCATGTCAAATGAAATATGAACCTAACCTTAACGACATTTCTTTGTAATGGATTACCAAAAAGTCTTTATAAGTTTTTTTTTTTGGCACTTTTGCGGTTAAGTTTTTATGGTTATTCTTTGATCGTCGACAGTCATCGCCCGAGATCCCTTTTACATTTTCGGTTAATTTACTTTTAATGACAACCAACGTCTGCTTATGCCTTATACCAAATTTAGAGTGGACTTTCCTCCTTTCGAATTAAGTTTGTACACAGTTCCAATTCGGTTAATGGACTCTTACGTTATAATTAATTCTAACAGTACACCATTATGTTGGACACCTCCCCCACGCCTGTGGTCGTGTACACCAGTCAATCTAGTTTACGTGTGTGGCTTATCTTGTATGATTAATTGACAGTGTGTGGTACACACAAGCGAATTTGATGCATGACGGCGTTAGCAAGATAAAGCCGAACGATTAATTACAACACTTTTACAGTTCCGTTGATTAGCACGGTGATAGGGCGGGATATCGGATGCACCGCGAACTATACAGCGAGATGAACATGTTTAGATACGTCCATAGTTGTATATATCAATTTTGAAAATTAACGACCGCGTATTGTTTTCTAAACGCTGAGAAGGAAATTTATGTTGTGTCCGTTTCCTGCGCAATTTATGAACGCGATGGCAGAATATAAATTATGTGGAACAGCAAAAATGTTTCCATTGAGATATCCTGTTAGATTCTTCTTTAAGCAAATAGGAATTCAAACCGATTATATAGCATAACCGAAGAGATCATCTAAAGTTAATAATTTTATGGTATTTTATGGTACGTTATTAATTAAATGATTACTAATTTAAGTATTTTTATATATTATTTTTATTTTTACTTAAATCACTAATAAGATTTTTTTGTTTTCAAGATTTAATTTTAAGATCCTGGTCACTCTCTGACCATGTAAAATTGGCCTATAAACAACGAATTGGGCCACGTGCATTGGCTCGGTGCCTGATCAATGGGCACATAAATCGTACGCGGTCAAATCTTTAATTCATGACCGAGTGCGGCTACTGTATTTTTCGCGGTCCGCAACGAAGATTAGTTCGCGAAATATCGCACAGAACGGCACACCATTAACCGTGCCGACTACTCTCCGGCAGCAGTAAGCTCTGGTCATACTGGAAGAATTTATATGGCGGTGCTTGGAATTCGCATTTTATTAGCATCAGTGCCGGGGTTTTAAAGTACCACTCTACGAACTGTATATAAATGCAGAGTAAATATAACTTGGTTGTACTGATTTGTTTCCTTTTCTGATATCAACTAAGTATGTAATCAATAGATTAAAGATTATTTTTTCGTTATGAAATGATTATGTACCAATAAATTCGGTTTTTATAACCGTATAATTTGATATTGTAAATCACATTCTGAAATCATTTGATACCCTTATATCCCCTATATTCGGGAACCATTGTCCCTCTGCGACCTTTTCTACCACATTGCTCGAGTAATCTGATTTAACCATTTTGAGTACCCTTCTAACCTTTGCCACCATATATACTGGATCGTCCTTTAAAGTAATCCATTCCAAAATCACCTGGTAATAAGATGGTTTAATATTCCTTTCACTTTAATATTAGAAACATTATTCTAAATAAATTAATGTTTCATATAAGTATAATTTTCTGCTACCACATTTGGAAATTTAACGACAATAAATTAAATGAATTTGTCAGCTTTCGATAAACGATACAAGATCCAAGATAGGCTTTATGTCGATTATAAACTTTTTGTTATTTTCTATTGATTAACAGAAAATAATAGCATTGGTTTTATAATCCTGTAAACTGACATTAGTTCTACCATTGATACGGTTGTTATCCATCATGAAACAGTTTTGAACTACAAGAATAATTAGTTTGAAAGGAGCTTTCATCGATATCACGTAGACACAGCAAAATGATACTTTGTGTAAAATAATCCATTTCTTCTTATTTTAGAACGGGTTACAAAGCAGAAATTATTAACATAAACATGTATGTATGTATGTAAACACACTTTGATGGTAAAATTATAAATCACTATCTTAAGATAACGTAATGACGCTTTCGTTTTCTATTTACTTGTGTTTTTGTATGTATCCTTTCGTTTTCTAATTTATACGGTACCCCTTAGATTTCAGTTTAGTAATTAAACGTTAAGTTGAATGCTATCTACAGCATCATACCCGATGGGCACGTGTTTATCTGCATGTGTAACCGGACTTTAGAGGTTCATTACTATACATGCGTGCCAGATTTTATCTAAGCAAATACGCCGTTTGTTACCTATGGCCAAGAGGGATATCCAATGAGCCAATTAGGATAGATTTAGTAATCTCACCGTAGTAAAGCACTTACTCTATACATAGCTATAATCCAATCGTGTATATTCACAAAAAGGTTTAAGAGATTAGGTTGTGCACTTCGAATTCAATTTCAAGAACACGGTGACACTGTGTCGAATGACTTTGCTATTTTGCAATTTGCTCACCTGGACCGTGAATACGCACCGATCCATTGGTACGCACGAGTTCTTGTGAAACGGTTCAATTTGTACCGCTGATATTGATCTGTTAACGATCAATTGCTACTACTAGTTTGGAGGCCGAGGTTTTGCAACGACAGATTTGGAAAGAATTGGGCGTATGCAGTTTGAACTAATTCTTATTTTCTAAAGTGATCATGTCCTATAGAAATGTATTAATACTATAAGACATTATATTTTATTTTAGCTTTATAAAATTAGTGGGAATTTTATTTGCATAATTAGACTAAACCCTATAATTATTCCGACAACTGTTTGTGGCAGATGCAGCATTATTAAAATAATTGCTATTTTTAATGGGCAGTGCAACTTCTGCTTTTTCATGTAGAACGTTTTAATAGTAGGCAGTGTACTTATTATATTTTTAGACATTATTAATATTTATTTTAATTTATACTAACTCAATTCATCAATATTATCGATCATAAAAATATTGAAAAGTACCTTTCTACTTCCGTTTCTCTTTAAACTAATGATCAGTTAAACGTTTGCATTCTAATACCACAACGAGAAATGGTAATGCGTACTTCGGAAAGGTAAAATAGAACTTCCCTGTTTAATACTTGGCTATTAGTATACTTTACTGCATGTGTAGCAGTTGTATATTTAAACGTTTCGAACGTAGAGGAGTCGTTCTATGGCAATCACGTAATCGTGTGAGGTCCCTCCACCGTCGGTCGCCTAGGATAATCGATTTGCGCGACATCTTGGAAAAATTATTAAACCGCGACTTGACTCCATGTAAGGTGGTGCTCGAGGCGTAAGGAAAACATCAATTGTGTAATGCAGGCCCCGTCATCCTTTCATTTACGTTTGATAATGCAAGATAATCGATAACGATCAGCGTAGATCTCTACGTTCGAAACGGGGACGTTACAACCATAATTTATTTAGCCAACTTTAGCGAAACATCTGCTGGTTCCGCGAAACTTCTTCAACTTGTATTGCGCGTTATTAACATACGTATGAATCCCCAGACCAATTTTGAAACATCATGCGTAACCATATCGTTATACACTTCGATTTCTCGAGTCATTCTCGCAAAAGATACGATCGGCGATAAAAGACAAGCAATTACAACGCGAACTTCTTGCGTCACGGGCATTAGAAAAAGTGGTACAGATAATATTGTAAAACGTCATGTCATTATGGCGACCTTGTAATTGACCACTAACGCAATTGTTAAAAGCGTTGAAAAAAACTACTTAGAAGGACACTTCGACCATTGTTTGACCGCATGAATAACATAATTACCTTGCCGATTCGATTAAAACACATAAATAAACAATAAAAAGGCAAGCCACAGATTAAAACTATTCTAGATCAATGCCTGTTATAGCGCAGATCTGAAACTAATTTT